GATGAGCTGGAGAAGAAAATGGCAAACCACTCCAGTATCTTTGCCAAGAAAACCCCAAATGGGGTCACAAAGAGTCAGACACAACTGAAAAATGAATGAACAAAAAATAATTTTAAAAATGTTCTAGGGGTGGGGAACCTGTCCTCAAGGCCACATGTGGCCTTGTAGGTCCTTGGGTGCAGCCTTTTGACTGATTCCAACTTTTACAGAACAAGTCCTTTTATTAAGGGGATTTACTCTGTGAAGTTTGGATTCAGTCAAAGGGCTGCACTTAAGGACCTAGATGGCCACATGTGAGACTACAGGTTCCCCCTTCCTTACTCTCCAACTGTATATAAAAACTCCTATGTCAGGTGTGAAAGAACTTTCTTGGGATACTATTTAACTCTTGCTGGAAGGAAGTTCATATTTCCCTAAAACTTGTGTTAAGTGAAATGTGGATGGGGTCCATGATAACACTCTTTTGCTAGTGATATTTTCCCTTTACAATATTAAATGTGAAAATAGGTACAAAACAAAATACAAGCACAATCTTCTGCACAAAAATAGTTTAAGCTCATTCCCATATTTCCTCAAACCCCTCCATCATCCTAGTGTTTCCCAGATACCCCCTCCAAAAAACCCCAAAACTATGGTTCTTATTAAGAGATAACAAGCCCCAAAGTCCTTTATGGTCAAATTAATTTGGAAAACAAATGGTCGGAGGTATTAACCTGATGCCTGGCTCCACCTAGCGGATTGTGGTGTTCAGGCGGCTTGCTTTACTGGTCCAGTGAGAAAGGCCAAGTAATGCTAAGTAGTCATATGGCACTTGAAATGTTAGCCAAACAGTCATGCACAGAAACATTCTCTCTCTCTCTCTGTCTCTCTCTCCCTCTCTCTGTCTCTCTTTCTCTCTGTCTCTCTCTCTCTCTCTCTGTCATATAGCAAAAAGCATTAGCCTTCCTCCAATCTGTGTGGCCTCATACATTAGAGCTGTGGATATTTCTGAGTGGTAATACAACTTCAATACATCTGCTTTCAACTCTTGTCCAAACAAACCAGGACAAAGAAAATAGTGACTTTTGAGAAATGAAGGAGGAGCAAAATATTAGCTCAGCATTCGAAAGGCTGATCGAGCATCAGAACCCCTTGTGCTCTCTCACTGTTTACTTACTTGTGATTTTTTCCTTTTCATTAAAAAAAAGCATTATGGGGGCAGCTAGGTGGCGCAGTGGATAGAGCGCCGGCCCTGGAGTCAGGAGGACCTGAGTTCAAATGCGACCTTAGACACTTGATACTTACTAGCTGTGTGACCCTGGGCAAGTCACTTAACCCCATTGCCTAGCAAAAAAACAAAAGCAAAAAAGAAAGCATTAGGCAATTTCAATTTTTCCTTCTACCTCCACCCCTATGTAGGAGGAAAGTTAGAAAAACTAAGGAAGAGACAACCAATAGAACTGCAATCTTTAAACAGCTTGCCCTGCCAGCCTTGCTTCGCAGTACCCTCCTTCATGCTGCCTGTGTTACAGCCAAATTGGGCAGCCCACCATCCATCTCTGTCTCATTACTTGGAGTATCTTGGGCTTTTCTGTGTCTGAGCCTTTGCTGTGTCATCTCACATACCTAGAATATTGTCCCCATCTTCCCTCTCTCATCTATACTGCCTAAAAGCCCACTTATTCTCCAAGGCTAGCTCACACCACCTTCTCCAAGAAATCTTTTCTGATTTTTACATCTCCCACCTCCATTCCCCAAACTGTAGATTTCTTCCTCCCGTGATCTCTCAGTGTTTTTGTTTGTACGTACCCCGCTAAATCCTTGTCATGCTTTCTTTATGTGACCATTTCTTCCATTCCCTACTAGATTGTAATTTCTTTGGTGGCAGGATCTGTATCTTATTTATCTTTGTATCCCTACAGGGCATACAGGAGCCTTGCCAAGAGTAAATGACTTAGACATGTTTGTTGAATGAATAATGAACGAATGAAATTAGGAAAGTACTGAAACCTTTTTAGCTGGGAGAAAGAGCCATGAGAGTGGAGAACCACAGAATAGCAGAAGCTTTTTAAAACCTCCATCTTTACAGAAGAATAGATTGTGTGACATGTTGAACTGATATGATTTCTTAAAGTCCTTTTTAGTCTGAAAATTTTATGTTGAAAGTTTTCTTTGTATCTTTGAGATGTCCTCTAAATCAAGCTTGGAATATGAAATGTCTTAAGCATTTGCTAATAAAAATCATATCTAGCATTCATGAAGAACCTACTGTGTGTCTGGCACTATGCTAAACACTTTATAAAAATTATCTCATTTTATCTTCATGACAGTCCTGTCAGGTAGGTGCTATTAATATCCTCATTTTATAGTTGATGAAATTTGTATTGGTGACCTGGCTCTTAAAAGAGAAAGCCTTAAGTAATAAAATGAGTATGTCCATCAAAACATTTACCCCTAGTGTTCATATTTGTTGTTGTTCGGTTGTTTCAGTTGTGTCCAAATCTTTGTGACCCCGTTTCGGATTTTCTTGCCGAAAATACTAAAGTGGTTTGCCATTTCCTTCCTCAGCTCATTTTACAGATGTGGAAACTGAGGCAAACAGGTTAAGTGACTTGCTCAAGGTCACACAGCTAGTAAGTGTCTGAGGCTGGATTTGAACTCATGAAGATGAGTCTTCCTGATTCCAGGCCCAACACTCTGCCCACTATGCCAGCTAGCTGTCCCTGTGTTCACACAGAAGTACACTATTATCTGCCTTCTGTAATATGTAAACACAAAAGTGTAATCTCACTCCCATCTTCTTCCATTCCCTCAAAAAAAAAAAAAATCCACCCAACTGTAGCATGGTACACAATGTCCCTACTTGCTTGCATTTATGAGGGCCACTTTTACTTCTTCTTTTGTTGTGGTTGTTGAGTCGTTTTCAGTTTCTGACTTTCTGTGACCCTATTTGGGGTTTTCTTGGGAAAGATATTGGAGTGGTTTGTCATTCCTTCTCCAGTTCATTTTACAGATGAGGAAACTGAGGCCAACAGGTTGAGTGACTTACCCAGGATCACAGCACTAGTAAGTGTCTGAGGCCAGATTTGAACTCAGGTTCTCCTTATTCTAGGGCCTGTGGTTCTGTCTATCCACTGTGTCACCTCATTGCCCCATTCCCAATAGCTGCACTGTTCTTAGGCTTCTATAGTGCGACCAAAGCTACTTTATTACAGGTGGAAAAAGAATAAATTCTATAAATGATGCTAGGTTGTAGAAACATAAACCATCTTTGCCCCATTAGGAGATCCTTTGGTCTGGATAGTCTATTTCTGGTTCAGATCCTGCCTGCCTCTCCAAAATATGAATGTACTCTTTTCAAAATTCCAGCCTGCTTCCATTCATATTGTGGATAGCATTCCCTTCACTTTGTTAACCCTCTTCTGATCTCCACTTCTTTTCCTAGCAAAGTTGGAGAGGCATACCTGGCTGCAGTGCTGCTGAACCTTCTGTGTAAAAAGCATTAACACTAAGAGGCTTAGAATTAAGACACTGGGTTCAGGTCTCTGTTGGAATGTAGGACACAGGTCAGATTGGCTGTAGCGTAGACCTTGGGCAAGTCACATAACTTCTCGTAAATTGGGAGAATAATAATATTTGTACCTCAGGTTGTGACTGTGAGAATCAAATGAGACGATATATAATTATATTGTATTGTATTATATCATATTATATATTATAGATAGCTAGTGTCTGAATCCAGATTTGAACTAAGATCTTCCTGACTCCATACTCATGACTGCATCTACTGGGCCACCTAGCTAGACAGTTTGGCTGGACCATAGAGTACAGAAAGGAGAGTAATCTATAATCAAGTTGAAAAAAAAAGGTTAGGGTCAGATTGTGAAGGGTATTCAAAAGTAAAGTAAAAGAGTTTATATTTTATCTAAAAAGCAACAGAGAAGCTTATTGACTGGGGGACTGACATGGTTACACCTGTATTTAAGGAAAGAAGGCAGAGTGAGGAGTCAAGTATATTGATAAAGACTGTGAACCTGGAAGAATAGTGATACCCATGACAGAAATAGGGAGTTTCAGAGAGGGGTAGGTTTTGATAGAAACACAAATTCTGTTTTGGACATGTTGAGTTTGAGAACTTCTGTCCTGTGTATGGGACATCTAATTTGTAATGTCCACTTGGCAGTTGGTGATATGGAACTGGAGCTCAGATGAAGGACTAAGACTGGGCATAGAGATCTAGGAGCCAATTGCATAGATCTAGATGGTAATCAAACTCATAGGAGCTGATGAAATCACCAATTGAATATAATGTGCCTAACTTTATCATAAGTAAGATATGACATTTAGACTTTCACTACTCTAGAGGGTAGAAGGTGAGTTGCTAGAAGGGAGAAGGGTGGTGGTGTCAGGGTTCCATTCTTTCTTGTTCTTCCCTCGTCCCTTATATGTGTGGGCATATTATATTTTCAAAGAAGATATTGTTTCTATTGGCATTAACGCACTTCCAGGAGCTGAGGATGACTGGTAGGGCCAATGTGTGACTATCTCACTGGGTAGCTAAGTGTAGCCCCCTCATCTCTGCTTGACGCTAAGCCATCTTGTCTTGTCTCATGTGTCCTAATTATCAACAACTTCAAGGAAGAGCATGTTTCCCTCACCCAAGGATTGCTTACCACCGCCTAACTGAGCTCTCATAGACTTCAAAATTTGAAGTTAGAAGGGAATTTATGAATATGAGTTTTTATTATGAGATCACCTAGTCTACCTCTTCATTTTGCAAATACAGAAACTGAGGTCCAGAATGGTGATGTCATCTGTATCAGGGTCAGATGGTTGGTGAATGAGGGGAGTGGGAAATAGAATTTGGACACAGGTCCATTGCTCATAAACCAAGCACTCTTTCTCTTGCACAACATTGTGCTGTAACTCCTCTACAAAGACAGCTCTGGTTCCATAGGTCATACCAAAGCATCTTCAAGTTGGATTTCTTCCCTGTAATGATTTTTTTCCCTTTTGATTAGGAAAATGCTCAGATGATTAGAGAAGTGGAAGTAGACAAAGTGTCCATGTTGCCCAGGAAACAAGTGGAAGCAATCAAAAAATTATGGGAGGACCCTGGAATCCAGGAATGTTATGATCGAAGAAGAGAATACCAACTCTCGGACTCAGCGAAATAGTAAGAATGATAAACTTTCTTTGTGTGGTTAACTAGAGTTGTTGCCAGGATCCCAAAGCAGGTATTGGCAACCTAGAAGGGAAAATGACTTTCAGCATAGAGAGGGTTGTTGCAACTAGGACTTTAGAGTAAGACTGCTGACCATAAGTGAGGGAAGTTTATTTTCATCAACCTTCCACTTTCCCTTCTGAGCCCTCTCTTACCTAGTGTTGGTCCTCCCTATAGGTCTTTCCCAGATCTCAGTTTGAATGAGGCAACACCCATTCAATGATTAAGGCTAGGTAAGAAATGAGGCAAAGAATGGCCTCTTTTACCTAGTTAAAAAAAATCAATCTGGGGGTAGCTAGGTGGTGCAGTGGATAGAGCACTGGCTCTGAAGTCAGGAGGATCTGAGTTCAAATCCGGCCTCAGACCACACACTTGACACTTGCTAGCTGTGTGACCCTGGGCAAGTCACTTAACCTCAATTGCCTTAAAAAAAATCAGTCTGGGAAGGGAAGACCCTCAGGGTTTCTGGTCAAAACAGAAACAGTTGCAAGGTCTCCCCCTGCATCCAGGGCCATCTCCAGTCATCCTGATCTTTATGGCTGTGGAGGAGAAAGTGAGGCTAGTGACTTTGCACAGCTCTCCTTCACTTAAATCCAGTTTACTTGCAAGTTATGGCATCACCTTCCTGATGTCATGCTCCTCTTTGAGAGTATAGGACAAAGAACAACCACCTCCCCATAGAATAACAGAGTCTGACTCTTTACTGTCTTCAACAGCCTGGGACAAAGGGTCACTTGATCTCAGCTTGAACATCTCCATGACAGGCAGTAATTACTTCAGGAGGCAGCTCTTTGGTAGGTTCAAGCTCCCTGTAGCAAGCCTCCACCCAGAGCTACCCTCCCCAGTGTTCTGGGCCATAAGTTATACCCTCCCTCTTCTCCCACCCATCAATAGTCAAAACTTCCATTTCTTTCAGTCTTGAGAATTCTTGTAGCTATCAGCAGATTATTGGCTTAAACTATTTTTACTTGAATTATGATCAATAGACTTAACCCATTCAAAAGAGGAACTTGGAATTATTATTGTTTTATCATCATCATCATCATCAAAGTTGAAGAAGTGCCTTACTTGTACCCCTGGGTGATAGGTAACACCTACCACCATCACTTTTTCCTTTCTTCCATTCTACTTATACTCTGCTAATTCTTATCAGAAATCCTTCATATTCAAATTCCTGCCTCTTAATGAGGCCCTATGACCACTAACTTCTGAGATCCTATACAGTCCCTCAAGAAAATAGGAAATGCTTAGAAGGTTTTGTAAAGTATGAAGCCACTGGTGACCTTGTAACAATTTTACCTAAGACTCCAAGTAGTATAAAGTACAGACAAATACATGAGACTTTGCCCAGGGACACATACAACACAGGGAAGCCACCCAATTAACCATATTCCCCAAGGCTACACCATTCTGCCATAAGGAGGTATCGCCTGGCCACCTTGCTTTCCTTTCTGTCATCACACTTAATTCTACAGTCACATTATCAGTTAAGGAACTCAAGCCCAGAGGACTCTGCTATTTTAAAGTGCTTATAGGCAATGTCAAATTAGGAGAGGAGCTAATGCTCTGGTTAAGGCTATTAGCAACATCAGTAGCAACAGCAGCTACCCACCTCCCTGCTCTTACAGCTCAACTACTCTGCCTTCCACACTGTGGTAAATTGCCTTTTACCCTTTCTTTTGTTCCCATATGCCAAAGAAGAGAGAGCTCTACAACCACACAAGAGAAAGCTTTCTTTTCCTGGTTTGAGGAATATTGGATTTATCTTTGTTGGTCTGGTGGTGCCCTCTAGTGGGAAAGAAACAAATTGCTAGATGAGACTGAGTTGGAAGGGGTCTCAGATATCATATGGTCCAACTTATACTTAAACCAACATCATCTCAACAAACATACCCGACAAGTGGTCATCCAGTCTTTTCTTGAAGACCTCCAGTGCGGAGGACCCCCATACCCCTGAATATTTTCTGGAGTAGCCCATTCTATTTCTCACTGTTAAGAATTTTTTTTTTTTTACATGAAGGTAATTCTGTACCTCCACAATTCCCACCTAGTGCTTATCATTCTTTCTTCTGGTGCCGAGAAAAGCAAATGTGACATGACTCTTTTGTTCTCCTTCTTTCACCTGAGCCTTGAATGGCATGATCTCAAGGCCTTCAGCTTCCTGAACACCCTCTTCTGGATGCTCACCAACTTAGCAATTTCCTTTCTAAACTATGGCACCTAGAATGGAACCCAAGCCTTGAGATGTGGCCAACAAGAACAAAGCATAGTGGAACTATCACCTCCCTAGTGCTGGATGTTGAGCTCCTTTTAATGAAGCCTAAGATTGCATTAGCTTTCTTGGCTATCATATCACATGGTCAACATAATGAATTTGCAGATCACTAAAGCCCCTCAGATGTTTTGTGATAACCTGCTGTCTAGCAATGCCTCCTCTGTCTCTCGATGATTTTTTGTTTTGTTTTGACTTAAGTATAAGACTTTATATTTCATTTTATTAGCCTTTCAAGATCTCTTTGGATTGTGACTCTTTCAATATGCCAGCTATCATAGATAGCCCTCAGAAATCATCTCATCCAACTCTCACATTTTACAGATAAGAGAACTGAGGTCTGGGAAAATTAAATGATTTGCCCAAAATCACACAGTTAGTAAGCATCATCAAACAGAAAATTTGAACTCTGGTCCTCTGACTCCAAAGCCAGTGCTTTCCTCCATCACACCATGCTACCTCCCATCCTTGTTGATCAGCAAATTTGATTAGCATGGCATACTTTGTTCTAGCCTTTCTAAACCAAAGATACTTTTCCTTAGCTGAGAAAATAGAAGTAAAAAAAAAGTTAAAAAAAAAGATTTGAGTGGTTATACCTTCTGTTGTCATCTGTTCCTTCTTAAGAGGTCAACAACCTTTTAAGATCCTCCTTCTTCCCCAATATAATTTAAAAACTCTTTTTTTTTTGTCCTTAATATTCCTTCCCAACCTTGGCCCATTCTGAGCATTAGTGCTGTGGATACTTTTCTTACATAATCATTGTAATCGTCAACTTGGAGAGTGGACAGAAACCAACTTTATTTTCGTCTTTTGAACATAACTTTCTAAAATCTAAGTTGGTCAGTTAGTTCCCTGTACATCTACACTGTTTTTTTAGTTTAATTTTTTTCAGTTGACAAGTATCAAATTCTCTCTGTTTGATGTTCCCTCCCTCAATTGAACAACAAAACCATCTTTATGAATATATATAATATATATACATATATACACACACATATATATATACACACTTACATATGCACATGTGTGTATGTGTTTGTACATGCAGTCAAGTAAAGGTAAATTCCTGATTTGTCCATGTCCAAAAATGTGTATCTCATTGCGCATCTTTGATTGACTGACAAGATGTGGGTAGGATGCATCATTTTCTGTCCTCTGGAATTGTGGTTTATCATTGCATGGGTCAATTCCTAAGTGGTTTAAAGTTATTTGTCTTCATAGTGTTGTCTTTACGAAGTTGTACAATCTTATAAATTATTCTAGCTCTCCTCATTTCATTTGTCATTAGTTCATTGAAGTCTCAGTTTTCTCTGAAAACTCATTTACTCATTTCTCAATAACAGGGGGAGAGGAGGGAACAAGCATTTATTAAGCACTTATTATGTGCCATATACTGTACCAAGCACTTTACAAATATCTTATTTGATCCTCACAGTAACGTTGTTATCCCCACTATTGAGAAAACTGAGGCAGATGTAGTTTAAGTGACTTGCTTAGGTTTATACAGCTAAGAAATGTCTGAAGTTGGATTTGAACTTAGGTCTTCGTGACACCACACCTAGTTTGCTATCCACTGCCACTTAGCTGCCTAATATTACATTATATTATTATACTTTATTTGTTAATATACCATATTTTTTAGCTATTTATTAATAGATATTCTCTTAGTTTCCAATATTTTTGCAACTACAAAAAGAGCTGCTATTAATATTTTTGCACATATGGGTACTTTTCATCCTTTTTTTTTTAATCTCTTTAGGGCATAGGCTTATGGAAGTACCTCTAAGTCAATGGCTATGCACAGTTTTGTAACTTTGGAGGCATAGCTCTAAATAGCTTTCCAGAATGGATGGAGTAATTCACAGCTCCACCAATAGTGTAGTGTATTTGTATTTACAAAGCCCCACCAAAAATTAGTTTCCTTTACCCATACACATCAAACTTCTTAGACTATAGATCCCTTTCTTCCCCATCAGAGTTATTCTTCTTTATATCTTCATAATTTTGGTTCTGGAATCTTCCCACCTGTCATAAGCTGACCACTCCTGCAGAATTTTGGTCCAGGCAGTCCTACATACCTTTTTTTTTCTGAACTCTTTGAAATCTGGTCTCATAAGATCTAGGGTACATACCAGATTTTCCCTCTTCTCTATGACAAGTTCTAAGATGGACCAGTTGATTCCTTCAAAGCTGCCTTCATTCCCACCCCAGAAACCAGTTCCTCCTTTTTAGTAGGTATCAGGTTCAGAATAGCAGTTCCCTTTGTTGTTTATTCCAGGTTTTGAAGAATGTAATTATTATTATGGCATGCCAAGAAAATATTAGCTGCTCTGCTTATGTCAAAGTGAGAGAGCTCTGGAAGAAGTCTAGAGAATTAAAGTCCTCCATCACTAAAATATCCTATCACCATGCTAAGTTTTGAACCAGTTTCTCCTAGTCCTCATTTACTTTTTTTTTCCCCTGCCCAGGTGGCATATCGTATCATCCAATGACAATATCACTTGTTTCTGCCTCTGATTTATACTACGTGCAGCCACAGGAACACAGCAGATCTGTCTGCCATTGATTTTTGAGTCAACAAATGGCCACCTGAATACTCCCCAGCAGAGGAAGTACTCACCACCACTCCTTACTTCTTATTTTGGTCCTTCCTGGATGATCTCTCAGCTATAGAATGACA